GGATCTTCAGGATGGACCAGATCCGGTTTGACACTGCCCTTGGCCCATCCTGAAGATCCACTTCCAGAACTGGGAGCAGTTCTGGTCGATCCTGAGGATCCACCAAAACCCACTCCCAGAACTTGATGATTATTAAGATTCATCCGATAACGTTATTATTTGAATATAGTTGATATCCTGATAAAAAGTTGATAGCGTTATTAAGATTCCATCATAATAACGATATCGAACGATATTTTTAGTTTATTACGATATCTTGATTAAAAAAAATCGTGAGCACAGCTATAATTCAAAAATATTTCCAATTGTTTTGCATTAAAATTTGATCTCAAACACTCACTTTGCGGTTGATAAACTTGTTTGCATTGTGATTCGTTACTTTCGTTACTATGAAAACTAGATGAGTCGGGCACTTCGCTTCCGGGCACTTCAGTGATATTTGGCAGAGGATTATGGCTGCGTCGCACCCAATCCGAACAGTCCCAATGATATGCTTCGCCATGATTTTCACTGCTCGAATCTTCGACATTGCTGACACCCGAACCGCCGCTGTTGGCCGTTGAGCTCGCGGCCAATTGATATTGCATCGATGATGGATTTGGTAGTGGTACGTTAAGCAAACGACCCTGTAGAACGCCGGTCGATTTCAATGTTGCACATCGATGCTCCGATCCGGCCGCACTGATTGGACTCGCTCGCTTGAGATCTGGGGAAAAAAAATTGGTTGAAATTTTATTTTGAAATTGAAGAGGGTATCGAACGACGTTTCAAAATGATCAAAAAAAAAAGTCATCAGAAAAGTCAATGGAAGAAAATTTAGGGAAAAAAATATTTTTAAAAAACGAACCGTTATTGATTTTATTGTCAGTAAACGATTGAAGTTGTAGGTAATCGGACCAGGTTTGTTTTGGATCTGCTTCGCCGCTAGCCGAGTGTCCATTCAAATTGACGTGCTGATTGATCCGAGTCGGTTTCCGATATTCGGGTGGAACATTTTCAAGTTCATCGCCGGCCGAACCATAGCTTCGCAGCGTATCCAAATTATTGACAAACACATTATTGCATGCGTATGGTGCGGCAGTTTCATTGCCACTGGTAAATGATGTAGGACGCTGTTCGTTCCGTTGGCTAATCTCAATGTTGCTCATCTTTGAGTTGCGCTTAAATTCACCATTGTCCCGCGTTACACCGACAAGTATTGCATTCTCTTTGCGTGTATCGTTGTTGATGTTGTTTGTGTGTGGTCGAGCCGGTCGTCGTTTGCACAAGCGACACGATAAAAATACAACTAATACAAAAAATATCACAGATATTCCGGATATGACACCAATTATTTGTTCCATAGGAATATTTTTCAATTTGGATGTGATCGAATTGGAGTATAATGGATCGCCACAGCTGGCACCAGTCAAATCTGGTGGGCAGATGCAACGAAAACTGCCGGCTTCATTTATACAGGTAGCACCACTGCCGCATGGCATCTTTTCACACTCATCAACATCAATCTGGAAATTCGGAAGAGAAAATGGGAACGTTTAAAAACATGAAGGTGTTTTCAAAAGTATTTTTCCGATAACTTACCTCGCATGTCGGGCCCATGTATCCACGGCACATACACAACGGTCCTTGATCACCTTCTTCGCACACACCACCGTTGCGGCATGGATTTGGTGAACAGAAGCGTCCAAAATCGCAGCGTTTGCCCGTCATTCGTGGTGGGCATTCGCAAGTGTAATTGCCAAGCAATTCACCTCGGCACTTTCCGCCGAACAAGCATGGATTTGATGCACACGGATCCGTATCAACGGCGCACAATTTGCCCGTGAAACGTGTATGGCAAATGCAATCAAAACTATCGCCATCATTTTCTTTGCACGTTCCACCGTTCAAACACGGTGCTGTTCCACAGATGCCTAATGGCTTCAATACAACCGAAGCATCACAGCTAAACTCAATGTTGGCAGTGCGTTTGAGAATGGCTACGGAATTACTGGTGCCCGGATTGTGTATTGTCAATGGGAGTCGTGACAAATTGATATCGTCCATGCAACCAACAAAACCATGTTGAACATCTTCAAAACCTAAGACACTTGGATGTTGCTTCACTTCGGCGCCCAGGTACATGTCGCTCGATTGCAAATTCAACACTCCGTTAACGCCGGGCGCATTTCCTTGGGCAACATGTTTACCATCGACAACCAGTCGTCCGCTGTTTCCTTCACGCTCTAGCCGAATATCATGCCATTGACCATCTGACACATAAATGCTTGTCACACTGATCAAACCTTCGCCCGACCCAAGATCAAAGCGATACTGAACGACACCATTTTGAATTTCCAAAATGGAAAAGTCAATCTTTCCAGATGCATACATCAAATTACCAGTTGGTTGAATAGTTCGAACGCGCAATGAAAACACCAAGTGCTCTTCAAGCGCTTTCTTCGCCGCCGTTTTCTCCATACGATATTGAATATAGCTTTTGCCATTGAATGTTACCGGATTCTTTGGTACGTAGCAGCTGTCATCGGTGCATTTAACAATATCCTTATCACAATTCGGGCCGCCAAATCCTTTGGGACAGATGCAATAATAGCCTTGTGGTGATAGATCAGGGATGCAGGTCTTAAACGTTGGACACGGATTACTTGCACAATCATTCACGGAATTTTCACACTTTTCACCGCCATAGCCAATGTCACAACGGCAACGTGTTGTATGTTCAAAATGAGCCGATACAAAACTGCTAACGTCCGTTGAAACGGTGTTAATTTTCGTTGGATCAAGTTGCATTTTATCTTCGCATTTGCCATGATCACAGTACCTGGTGGAGCATTTCGATTGAACGATTTCATCGACGGAGAGTTCGGTGAGTTTTTCGATTTCACTGATTTTCCCATCTAAAAATGTGCGAATCTCATCGGAACTGTAGTAAGCAACGGTGTTTGGATTCTGTTGATGCTTACGCACCGCAAACAATACATCTAAATCGTGTTGCAATTGACGTTTATTCCTCGGATCAATCAAATCGGTCGAGTCGTCCAGTAGCATTGAAATATTTCGCAAATCTCGACTATAGCGATGATGATGAATGGTGTTTGAGTCTTCGGTTGATGTTTGCACCGCAATGATTATTACATCCTTCAATCGTGATCCAATGGCATTTCGAATCGATCGTATGAATGTTTTGCGATGACTAAGCACAAATTGTTCAGGTGTCACTTCGGTGAAACGAATGAGAACGGCATTTTCAAGCATTTCATCGGTCACCAAATCCACGGAAATTTTGATGATTGTAAACACGGTGAATTTGCCATCGGTGACAGTCACATTCACACGATAATCACCCATGTCCAGTTTGGGCAGAGCATACAGTGTGCCATTGGTTTTGGAAATGTTGAAAAGACTCTTTGGTGTATATAAAACACCGGATGTTTGTGCCAAATCATATGTCAGTGTATCGTATTGATCTTGATCGCTGGCAAAAATCGTTCCGATTGCACCGCCTTGGAATACATCGCCGAATGCATTGACCGAAATGTCTTGCGGCACAATGACTGGTGGATATTGAGATTCTTCGATCACTTTCACCGTCACCCAAGTGTCCGAATGCAACAATGGTGTTCCGTTGTCAAAGACACGCACTTGCAATAGAAAACTGTCTTTCACTTTGTGATTGAATCGTGTGGCCGTTCTCAGGGTGCCGTCTTGTTGCACGACAAATGCCGCATCTTTTGTGATTATATCGAATGTGAATGGTTCAGCATTTGGTGGTGCATCCGCATCGGTCACTTCGAATCGTAACAAAATATGACCAATCGGCTTGTCTTCCTGCACGAATGCTGTGTAGTTTTGTTGTGTGAACAGTGGCGGATTATCATTTGCATCGGAAATTTCAATGTTCAACAGTGAATAGGATGAAAGTGGTGGCATACCATTGTCCAAGGCTTCGATTTCAAGCACATAACTCGATATTGATTCACGATCTAAGGCCGTAGCTACCGACACATAACCACTATTCTTCTCGATGCTAAACTGCTGCAACCGATCACCACGAACAATGCTGTAGCTGACATGGCCATTTTCACCCGAATCCAAATCATTTGCTTGCACCTGAAGTATTTTATCGCCAACCGTAGAATCTTCACGAATTCGAGCGCTGTATGATGCTTGCGTGAATATTGGTCTGTTGTCATTGCTGTCGATAACCGAAATGTTCAGTGTTGCCAAATTGCTCAGTGGTGGCTCGCCCAGATCTACCGCTTGAATTGTTAAGAAATAATCTTTGACGCGTTCGTAGTCCAATGTATCGGAAATAGTAATCACACCGGTTTCGTTATTGATTTGGAATTTTCGCTGCTCATTGCCTCCGATGAAGGAATATTTGACCACGGCATTTAGTCCAGTGTCTTTTGACGTTGCCAATACTCGAATAACCTCAGAACCCGTTGGACTATCTTCGGTTATGCTGGCGGCGTAATACTTTGAAGTGAACTCCGGTGGGTTATCATTGATATCCTTTAAGAAATGAAGAGGAAAATAATCAGTTGAAAATGAAAAAAAAAAAATTGAAATTAGCTGAAAAAATGACCAGATTGATACACCTACTTGAACATTAACGACAACATAAGCAATCGATGACAATCTCGGATTTCCATGATCGAATGCCTGTACGGTGAGATTGTACATTTCCTTTTCTTCACGATCCATTGGTTTGGCCAGCGTTATGATGCCACTATCTGGTATGATTTTGAAGTGCTCCTTGTGTGAATCAATGAATGTGTAATTAATCTTGCGATTTATGCCAATATCCGCGTCGGTTGCATGCATTTTCGTAACTAATGTGCCAATCTCTGCGTCTTCGGGCAGTGAAACGGTGTAAATGGGCAGTGAAAACACTGGCGCATTGTCATTCACATCGGATACAATAATTTCAATTTGTGATGAGCACTCCCATGACCGATAGTGATCCTGAACATGAGCGACTAAATGATAGCGTGACTGTACCTCACGATCCAATTGCCGAGCGGTTCGCAAGTGACCTATTGATATGCAGAAAAAGTGGGATATTTCAGAATGGTGTTTAAATGAATGAAACCAAATTAAAGAATTGAAAAAAGAGAAAAAAAAACAAGTTTCAAATTTCGAAACTAAACAAAAAATTCTTAAAACGTTTCCGTTTCAAAAATTAAAAGGAAGCGCTTTGAAAAAGCTCACTCAAAAAAAGAATCGCAATGTGTTTACCTGAGCTTTCGTCCAAAATAAAATCGTCGTCTCCATCGCCGGTCAAATAGAATCGAAGCTTTGCATTTTCCGCTTCGTCTGCATCGGTGGCCAGAACGCTTAAAACGAAGCTTCCCACGTGAACGCCTTCGCTGAGTGTCTCTTCGTAGCGGTACTTTAAGCAATACGGTGGATTATCGTTTGCGTCCAGCACTTCAACGGTGACATTTGTGTGTGTTGTAAATGTTCCATCGGTTGCAATAATATCCAGCGTATAAAAGGGTATTGTTTCGCGATCCAATTCTTTGGCCACATACAGTTCGCCGGTGTTCCGAATTTGAAAAACAGACTGTGATTGCGAATCACTGGATAAAATGTAGAAATCAACGGGAGTTTCGATTTTATCGCGATCCATTGTTGATAGTTGCAATAAAACGGTTCCGGGTAATGCATCTTCGTTAACTTTAGCCGAGTAGCTGTTATTCTTGAACGTTGGCGGACAATCGTTGTAGTCTTTAATTTTAATCATAACCGTTGTTTCGCCGCTTCGTTTCGGTTGGCCATTGTCGGTGGCAATCACGCGAAAATTATATTCGTCCACTTGTTCACGATCCAAAAGCATCAACGTCGTTATAGCGCCCGTATGAACATCAATGTCAAATATATTTAGAATATCACCGGCATCGTTGTCGAATGCATAACGAATGTCACCATTTGAGCCGGTGTCTGCATCGCGGGCCGTAACTTTCATTATTGTCGAACCTTTTTCAATGTTTTCGGCCAACGTCAAGAAATAGCGTGAACTCTCAAATTCCGGACTATTATCGTTCTCATCTTGGACGTGCAACAATATCTCACAAAATGCGGTCAACGATGGGCTCGAATCGGATTCCGCATAAATTCCAATGTAATGTGTATCTTTTGTTTCGCGATCCAATGTTTTGGCCAGACTCAATTCACCGTCATTGGTGATTGTGAATTGTGGTGCGTCCAAATTGGTCTCCGATGCAATATGATATTTGATCGTAATATTGATGTTGGTCAATTTTAGACGCGTAATAACGGTGCCGGGCGCTGAATTTTCCGCCAAAAATAGAATACGTTCACGTTTTTCGAAATTTGGCGCAAGATCCGATTGTGACATGATATACACATCGACCGATACATCGGCATGCAGTGATGGTGAACCGCCATCGTGAGCGCGTACAAAAAATTGAAACATTTGATTTTCCATGCGTTCGGCTGTTTTGCTCAAATACATTGCGCCCGTATCCTCGTCAATGCTAAATAAATCCTTGACACCTGTATTCTGTGTATCGTAAATGCTGTATTTTATGACTGCATTTTGATTTTCATCAGCATCAAAAGCTTTTATCTGCTCCATTTGATGTAGTTTGGTGTTTCGTTTTTATTTTATTTTTATTTTTGTGGGGGCGGGAGTGATGGAGTAGTAGGTAAAAAAACAAGAAGTAAAGAGCCAAACCAAAGGTAACATTCCAAAGAAGAATATATCGCATCGCATTAGTGATGGGTTTCAAATCGGTTACACACGATGGTAAATGAGGTGGATGGCGGCACATATACACGCGTTGATTTGCACAAGAGAAATGGAAAGAATGCAAGAGAGAGAAAAAAAATATATATATATGAAATTAGATCGAAAGGAAAGTGTTAGTTGAATTGGATTTCATTCGAAAGCGAGTTCGGTAATCGTCTTTGCAGTTGTTGTTGTTTTTTCTTCATTCGACGCTCTACTCTCAAATTTATTTGTGTGTGTGTGTGTGTGTGTGTGTGTGTGTGGATGAGAGATAGAGAGCGAGTGTGCGGGTAAGTAAGCAAAAGAAAACAAAGAAGCAGTCAAGTGCTTCTACGAAATGGAGAAAAAAAGCTATAAAAAAAACTAGTGATATAAACATTCCCGCCCGATTCGGTAATGTATTCGATTGCAATATTTTTGATGGATTCCCTAGTTGATAGGCCGCGCGCAACACAGAAACCATATCGACAATGCCATGATAGTTGGAATGCGCTCGCACGCGCACGCAAAGACTTTTCGATCGAAAGCACACACACACTCACACTCACATTGTATGAGTGTATTAGTTCGATCTCTTTCTTGCAATTCACTTTCGCTTGAAAATTCCGAGTTGCAATTTAGGAAATTGTATTTATTCGATTCTAACACCTCATCTATATCTACTCGTGGGATTCACATTAGAGTGGCCATAAATTTGTCAGTGTGATTTTATGCGGATGCCGTGTGACGGTGTGCTTCAGTAAAAGAGACACGCACCAATTGGGTACTTTTAACATTTCAGCTGAACCGAGGACAATGAGGTAGCTCATTGAGCGCTTTTGATTTGTAAAATAATAATTTCCTGTGTGTGCTGTGCTGTGTTGTTGTACCCGGTAAATTGCACACAGTGCACGTGATGCGCGTGTGATCTATCAGGTTAAAACACAATGTGTTCGGTCGCTGATTATATTGACAAGAGATAAAATTTATCACCACTCTAGCACAAAACATGCTTAGCATAAACACCACAGTATATTTAGCATATAAAATCCCCTTTATGCTGCCTGATGTGATGTGTGTACGGTGGTGCTGCTAGTTGAACTGAAACTCAACCCGTCCCGATTACGACCAGTATTGTATTCTATTTAAAGTTTAACGTTTCGAAAAGCACATAAAATGAAAATCCCGTATAATCTGCAATATGCGTTGACTACACTCACTCTCACACAATGCCAATCCTCTTTCTCTTGCGTGCGCACACACACGCACACGCACACGCACACGCACACGCACACGCACACGCACACGCACACGCACACGCACACGCACACGCACACATACTAAATAACAACAACAACCAACGAAAAATAAAAAAAATATACACGATTGGAGAAGCACTTACATTCAAAAAGGTTGCATTCACCGATAAATTTCCATAAATTGATGTTTTATATTCACGCAGATAAAATTGAGGTGTTTTATCATTTTGATCGCCTACTCTGATTTTAACGGTTGTAAAACCCGAACGGCCACCACCATCCGTTGCAATCACTGGTACCTCATACATTTTCTGCTCTTCACGATCCAGCCGAATTTTTGTAACGATTTCCCCTTTGGTTTTATCAATTGAAAAATATTCCTTCATTTCATCGGAAAAAATATCGTATGTTAACATGCCGTATTCGCCGAAATCCTCATCGATGGCATTAACCTTTTAGAGAAAGAAAGAAAAAAAAATGTATTCATAGTGAAGTTGAACAAGTGTAGAAGAGAAAGGAAAAGAAGAGAAGGAAAAAAATGGCAACTGAAATTGTGTTGGAAATATCGAGATATTCATGGGCCGTAGCAATAACGGCGACGGTGGTCAATGCCAAATGAATGCTTTTGTTTGGGAAACGAAAAGCCATTTAAAGGGTTTAACAAGTCAATAATCTAAATCAAATAATTTTCCAAAAGCCAACCAACCGAATGGCCGACCACTCCGATCGACCAAAGGTAGTTAGCCGAACGTTTTTGCGACTATATTTATTGTATACGTGTAATTAAGATTCAGAATTGATAGGCAGACACGGGCGGCCCTTTCGGGCCAACCCAACAACAATAGAGCAATAAACAAATAAACCAACAACTTACCGTTATGACTAGACGGCCGGCCATTTGGTTTTCATTAATTTTGACATCATAGACGAGATGCGGAAATACGGGATTGTGCAAATTTGCGGGCAATATGTTGATTTGCACACGAATGAAACTGGTGTAGACGCTGTCCGATACCGATATATTCAAAATGGTTGAATGCTTTTCGGCAAAATTTTGCATATTGATCAATGTAATAATGCCGCTAATCGGATCAATGGCATACGTTTGCAGCTCATTGCCTTCGGCTATTGAATATATCAAATTATCGGCATCGATATAATCGGGATCGCTGGCCGATACGATTGTCACAAATTGACCACGCACCGCATGCTGAGACAGCGAACAACTGTACGATGATTGCTCGAATCGCGGTGCATTGTCATTCATGTCGGCAACTGTGTGGGTGGCCCGGGATTATGATGTTATTTTCACATGTGGTGGTTGGTTTTTTCGTCGTCATCATCATCATCGTCGTCGTCGTCGTCGTCGTCATCGTTCCCATTTTAGTTTGTGGCGATAGTTTTTGGGGTTAGCGAGTGAGTTGTCATCATAACGAGTGTTATTGTAGTTTCCATTCGATGTACAATGTTTATTTTGTTGATTATCATCACCAGTATTATTTTAATGATTAAATTTCCGAAATAAAGACGCCAGATTGATGCGAAAATAGATAAATAAATACAATTTAGTTAATAAAAACCAAATATTTACTATAAATGTTTTGCAAAAATGCACGCGTTGCTCATCAATTCCAGTGTTGGTTTTAGTTTTAATTAAGCAAATTTACCATACGTATATACTATATGTACACATATTTTACTCTCTTTTATTTTATTCGCGATGAGATCGTTTACATCTGTTTCGACATTTTTATTTGCCGGAATGTTTTGTATCTGTATTCCGTTCGGTTTTGCCATGGCCAGTGAATAAAAACATTATGTTAAGCCATTAATAAATAAACACAGTTGTAACGAGTTCCATTTTCATCGTGTTTTTTCTCTCTCTCTCTCTATTCGTTGAATTTTAATTCAAAAACTGATTTTTTTTGTTGTTTGATCACATCGAGTTTTGTTTATTCGACGGAATAGCTTCGGATTTTATTGATCATAGAATTTGCATAGGCACTAATATTGAGAATTTGGAATGTGCAATTGTGCATACCATTTTTTGGAACAAAGCACAATTACTAAGAATTGACGGAAATTGAAATTACAATTGCATTCGAAATGAAGTCCATCGGAAATCACATGTGTGTGTGTGCGGTAGTTTTCACTAGAAAATATGCAGCTAACGGTTATTTAACGTTCTCTCAAGTCCATATTCAGCTGAAAATCGTTTATCAGTAAAACATTTCGAAAATTACCATTTCCAAATCATATAAATAGTTGAAAATGGAAAAACTAGCTAAAATCCAGTTCAACCGGAGAAACGAACGGAATAGAAAAGAAAAAAGACCGAACCGAAAGCCGGCCAAAAGCAAATATCGACCAAAAATAGTTCGGTTAATTAAGTGGAAATGTAATTTGTCAGCTGAAAGGACAATGAATCGTATTTAAATAATAATGGAATTATTGATGCACATCGTTGAATGTACACCATTTACAAAGCGAAAAGCAAATGAGAGAGGCACGAGCGCGTGGGAGTTGCGCGCATGTGCAAACGCTTTACGACAAGGAGCAAAACAATTGTGAATTTAATTTCGTGTTGATGATAAAATACTCGTTCGTTTGTGTATATTAAATTTTCAACGATTTGCAACGGCCAATAGTTTACGGCGTTTTTTTTTCTCGATTTTCTTTTGGCGTGTGTGTCATCTATATACACCGGGATTATTTTCCAAAACAATGTTCTCATACACAGCAGTATGAATGAGAGGCGAGAATGAGATTGTTTTCATTGTAAATGCGCGTGTTTGCCCACCCGCTCACCTCACTCGTTGCCTTTTGAACATTTTCACATGCAATTGCTTCGGTTCTGATATACACACCCGTGTGAAAAAATAGTAACTGAGCAGTCAGTTAACTAATTTGGGACAAAAATGACTTACTTTGATTGACATTTCAGTACAAAGTGTAGTGTAAGTCTATCATAGTTAACTGAAATCATTTGAAGTTACAAGTCAATCTAAGTTGCTTCATTTGGGACCAAGTGATTTTCTTAGAACAAAAATATAATTTCAATCAACTAAAGTCAACTGAAGTTATAGTCAGTCAGTCATTTCTTTTTCACACGGGCACACAATAGACATGGTCACAAACACACAAAATATGCGTTCCAATTAAAAACTAAAATTGAATCGTTGCATGTCCATAGCCACAGATCATATGCATGTCACTCACATGCAGACAGACAGACACACAGAGAGAGAAACGGAGACAAACGCACGGAATCTCGCAACATGAGCGAATTCAATGGCATTTTTGTTATCTGATGAAATGACATGGCTTTTTGAGTTTTGCGATAACATTTGACCAGTGACTTGTTGCCGAAATTATTCACATTTTGTCCAAAAATGTACCACGCAACTGGCCGCCGCCTCTTGTTTTGGCATATCTCGAATGCCATCGTAAAATCTCCATGGCTGAAATAACAGAATGCACAGCGCGACCAAATGAGCGACAAAGCAATATGTAAACTATTTTTCACACAATAAGTGCGTGCAATGATGCAACATCAATCGAATTCGGGCGAAGAAGAGAGGAAAAGAGAAAGAAATGTATAGACACTCTTACCCAGCCGCCCATCGACCAACACTTAAAATCCTGAATATAAATTGCAGCGCAAGCAAACAACGGATCGAATATTGTGTACGCAATTTACACAATAACCCAACGATTTTATCACAATATAAAATTAATCATCAAATTATGCTTTGGTCAATTGTAATAGGAAATACGCAATCATCTTTTGATCTCACACAAACTATGCGCCATTGTTCGCCAATAAAACGAAAACTATACGGTACCATAAATACGCGCTAGCGCGATAATGACATGGAAACTTCAATGAAAAACCGCATTATTTTCAACGGTATGCAGTGACAACGGCAGCACATTCGGCGTCAGCATTACATAAAGCGTGAGCTTTAATTGTTCACTTACTTTGGAGGATGCAAATTGGGGGTGGAGTGAGGGACGGTCGAAGTGGATTTGCATTTTTTTATCAGTGTCGTTGTTTCATTAATGAACCGGAAATGCCGAAGAATGACTAGCATGACAACGGAAATCGATAGCTAAATACATCAAATGATGATACCCCATAGATACCGAACGTGAGTTGGAGCTGCGAGCGAGAGTGACAGTGGATCGAAACTAAAATTTACTGAATCACCAACAAAACGAATGAACGATGTTTGTAGACAAATTTGATGGTGGCATAGTCTCAATTTACAACAACTATTATTCATGGCAACTGTCACAGTAGTTTTCGGACCATGCATTTATATATGGGTGTGTGTGTGTGCTCGAGGCAAATTCAGCTGTAGCCAGTGAATTAATATCGCATTAATCAAGTTTCGAACAAATAGACGGTTGCTGCTTCTGATGCTGTTTTCGTCGTCGTTGTTGTTGTTGTTCTCGTTGAAACGACGTCGCATTTTGCATGCGCATCAACTTATATGTCATATACAATTTAATGCAATGCGAAGCCATTCTTCTGCACAGTACATATTCGCTAGGCTTCAATTAAATATCAAAATCGGCAACGGCATTCAATCTACTAAATTTAATTTCAACGAAAATATGCCCTAATTATATACATATGAAAAACTATAACAAAGACACGAGCATCAAACGATGGCTAAATTCAATTGAAATTACTTTCGACGGGAGAAACAGAGAGATGGCGAAAAATTGCGGCGGAGGCAATGTGAGATAGGAGAGCGGAAAAAAAAAATCCGTCGAAATCGAATTGAAGCACTGTGCTCAGCCCGAACAATGCCAAACGTAATTAAATGCAGCTTTTATATAATGCTTGATTGATATATATATATATATTGTGATTGAGCCCCACCAAAGCATTTGTGTGTATGTGATTTTCGTTTAGCGAGCGAATGCGGAAAGCATGCAAAAAATGTCATCAACGTTGAGCTTTTCTTGTTGACAACCAAGTGTTCGTTAAATTGAATAAATTTCACGTATTTTCGCTCATTCTACCTCGCAATATAAGCGCATACGCTCTTCACGCATCCGAACAACGGAATCGTAGCTCACACGACACATATACAGTATACACACACATCGATTATCGGGTCTATTTGAAAATGTTTTTACGTTAACGGAACGCAATTTGAATTAATAGTGCAGTAAAACGAACAAAAATAGTCTTATTGTTTAGTTGAGCGCGCTCATTCACTCGCTCGCTCGCTCGTTCGCTTCCCCGGCCATTTTCCCTTTTCAAAATGGATATTCATTTATATGCGAATTGTTGCACAAAATTACGTACCCCAAAACAATGACCATAACACTTCAATGGATATACTACGATCTATAACGATTGCATAACAATCATGTTGTGTGTGAATGCTGAACGCTGATACTAAATTGAACCGTTCAAAGGTGCCACAATGAAACAAACAATGAACTTTTCATGTTGATATCTCCATGCGATGAATGCGGCAAGTGGAAGCGGTAGGAAGATGGGGGGGGGGGAGGATTGAACGGAAAAGTGTTGTGCTGACGAATAGAGTGAGAGGAATAGTCGAAATTGGAAAGAGAATGAGAGATGAATAGTGGAAAACTGTGGAAGAGAGCGAGAGAGAGTAGTAGAAAGGGAAATTGCTGGGAATAGGACAAAGAGAGAGACAGGGAGATGAAGAAAAAATGATTTCCTGAAAACATAGGAAACGAGGCAATGAAATGGCGACGAATACAAGAGAAAAGTAACGAAAATCAAGTGTGCGACAGAGACCAAATGGATGGGATGCAAAAAGGCAGCATTTAAATGTGCCTCATGGTGTTGTTGGCTCTGTTGCAGCTGATCAAATGATAAGCGAAACGTTTTAGTAAATTGTAAAGTGGCAATGTGTAAAACGAGTATTTGAAGTTGTTTGGTCGACTCTCGAATGGGATCAAAAATAAAACCGTAATAATCAAATGAGATAATGAAATGCTAACTTGTTGTATATTGACTGGTACACGGTATGGCATGGCGTGCCGCTTATTTTGATCTTGGTGTTTTTTTTTTCTATACTTTTTGGAATTTGATGAGCAACAATAGATAAAAAGAAATTGGAGAGAGAGAGAAGAAAAATCTAATCAAATATATTAAACTGACCTTTGACCCAAACGTGTGCCGTTGAACTGAGACTCGGTACACCCTTATCGATGGCAATTACCGTAAAATGATGCGTAGCTAATTGCTCGTGATCTAATGATTTCTTTAAATACACAACACCTTCGATTGGATCCATTTGAAAGTATTCGGATGTATTTTTATTGTCCGTTTGAATGCCATACGTGACCATTTGATTGATGCCCGTATCGTTATCGTGTGCGACCACTTTTAGTATTGCTGTACCAAATGATGCACCCTCCGATACGGTCACATTGTAGCTATCCTGTTCGAATTCGGGCAGGCAATCGTTAACATCTTGAACGAGCACCGAAACGGGCACTTCAGCCGATACACCAGACACACTGTCCGTGGCTCGAATCACCAGTTCATAGTGTTGCTTTCGCTCATAGTCCAGATCATCCACCACATAAATAGCACCTAAACAACAGCAGCAGAAAAATTCATGGAGAAAAATGGAAGAAAAAAGAGAAGAAAAAAAAACAAATCCATTCGCAACGAATCGATTTATTCAAGAGAGGGGGAGAGAAAAAAAAAATTAAAATTAATTATCGAATTTATGCGAGAAAATATTTAATACAAAATGCAAATTGATTACAGATTAAAACAAACAAACAAATATTAAAACAGGCAAATGATATGGAAACAGAACAAAAACAAAAATGGAACAAACTTGAAAATTAAAATCTAAGATAAACAATATAGAGAAAGAGAGAATGTGAACAATAAAACGACACGCATACACACACACACACACACACACCGAGCGCGCTTCATTTTTTTTAATTTCACGCTCACTTGTGCAGATGCGCGTTATGAATGCGGTGTTAAAGAACACACAGAAAAAAAAAATGAACGTCGCTTTTGGTATTATTGAAAAAGTTTTATACATTCCATTTGGAGTGAATGAGAAAAATGAGAGTGTGTAAGGAATGAAGGAAGAAGGCATACTTGTGGTCTATTTGTATTTACAAAATATGTTGATGTGCAATGGTTATTTTTTTCTTCTTCAAATGAAAGAAGGAAAAAATGCTTTGAATGCTTTGGTGTGCTCAATAAATTTCAATTATTATTATTTCAATGGGAAATCGTTTTGAACACAAAAACTTTTTTTGTTTCTTTTTTATGTTCAAAAGTGTGAATTATTGGTTAATGGATGATGATGATATTTTAATACAAAAAAGTGGATGCAAACGTACTCTATTATCGTCATTTGGATGATATGCAAACAATAGAACGAAAAAAACAACAAATTGATATCAATTCAAATTAGAAGACAAAACAACAACAACAACAACAAAATGGATGAATAATTGTGTTATCGCGCATGAAATGCAAATATTGACACAGGAATGCGCATCACGTATCATTTCACTCAACACAGTACACGAGTGAAAAAAGGGCAAAATGGTTAGAAAAATGTACGAAATTAGATATGAAAAGGAAAGCCAGAAATGCCGTATGCATTTATTGTAAACGTGCAAAACATTCGAAAATATGAGCACAATTCACCATACATTGATCTCTTGTGTTTGTGTTCGTGCGTGTGCGCCAATGCATTTGTCCTGGATTATGCAGCACACATACTCTCTCTCTGTCTTTTCGCGCACTCATTCCATGCTCACAGCATGCAACACCACATTTCATATTACATTCACACGGCGCACGAAATTCAATAAAAATTTATCAATAAGATATGCGTTGTCGTCAAACGGATCGACTTCAACACAGGCTTTGCCAAGCAAATACATCACATACACAAAATTGAGTTGATTGCAGTCTTGTTCGCAATATGCAAATCAAGACATCAAAAACAACAACTGTGTGCGAATTTGTGCAAAATCAATTTTCGACTGTAGAGAAAATTCATAAACGCTTAAGTAAAACTCTTGCTTGCTCTGTCTCTTGCTCTTACTCCTCTCTTTCATCCTTTCACTCACATGTGCCGTGTATTCCGTGCCAGTCTTCTGATAGTGTGTGGTGTGATTACTAACGCTGACGCAAATGATGCTAATGCATAAACAAACTTTATTTCCGTTTGTTCTCGTTTCTACACGCAACTATACATGGCATAGTTTTCGTGATTCCCGAATTATGTGTAGTTCTAATTCGACACTGTCGACCGATTAATTTTAATAAAGCATCTATAGCTACTAGGAGTAGTGGTGTTGGTGGTGAGTTTTGAACAATTATTTAACAAAGGCATCATCGTCTAATTCGCTTTGAGCAAGAGTTTTACGAATTTTGTATTGTAGATCTGTTTGCGAATGTATAATGAGCGTTTTGAGACTATCTGAAAAGTGGATTTTGGCCAACAACAAATATCGCATTTAGTGCTTAATGTGGACTAGTGAGTGAAAGAGAGAGAGAGTCGGATTCATATAGAACGGTGGAGCAAGTGAGAGAGAGAGTTGCAATCATTTGTCGGCAAACATAGAACGAGTGAATGAGAGCGATTGCTAGTTAGAATTAGGGATGACGAGTGAGAAAAAGAGAGAGAGAGAGAGTGTGTGAGATTTTTAGCGGGAGATCTATGCGGAAAACAAAGCTAAACACACTTTGAACATTTGTGATAAATTCTGTGTGTGGATTGGGAGCAGGCTAGATAAAAGCGACGCGGTCTCTTTCTGAAAACTTAATCAGCAGCAATAACCGACTTCCGTTACAATTACACTCATCCAACGCAGACCGGGAAAGTGTTGCAAAAGAAAAATAAGGGAAACAATTTCATTTTTATATATTATGCCACCCCACAAAGTACACAAACATACACATACACACATACGCACACATAAATCTAAAGCGATAACATTGAAGAAAGCTCATTCAAATGGCAAATCATGTTAAAATAATCACGCAATTAAAACGGAACTGTAAAAATAAGGGAATTACAGTTTAAAAGTTAAAACTCTTGATTGCACTAAAAAGTACGGCCATAAAAATGGTTTGCGAAGCATATATACACATACACATGAGAGAGAAGAAATAGAAGAAGAAAAAAATCCGACGACGACGACGGCGGCAACACAACGAATGTTTTCAAAGTGATTGCAAAGTTTGACAAGATAATGAACGTTGACAACGACGAGGATTCATTAATATGGTGTGTAAGTTTGATGCGAAAATGATGTTGGCGGTGGCGGTGGCGATGTGAGAGAGGGATAGAGTGGTTTGTCGGATTAAAAACAATGATGTTTTTCCGTCGAGTTTTTGAAATTTCCACTATATTTGAAGCATTCACAATGAATTGATGTCATATGAAATGGGAAACGACGCACTATACAAAAACACTCTTAGCTTTATTTATTTCTCCCACTCGTTCGCCAAAGCTCGTCCGCTTATGTTCAACAAATATTATGATATAGCGAATGCGAATAAGCTAACTAGCGAGAGAGAGAGAGAGAGAGAGAGAGAGAGAGAGAGAGAGAGAGCGGGAGAGAGATTGAGAGTCGAATGGTGGCGGCAGCAATAGTTAAAGTTTATTTAGTGCTAGTTTATGTGCATGCACACGTATTGGCAGGATGCAGTTTGCGGAAAGTTTGTCATTGGCGGGGCGAGAGGGTTGCTTGAATGTGTCGACTGTTTTTATAGTCAGTCAGTCAATTGCGATGTGCTGCGATGTGATGTGGCGGTTGTTTGTTGCGTCAAACGACGACGCAAAATTTACTGTACACTAAGCAGCACACTTCGTGTTGGCACACCATAAAGGAAACGATGCAACTATTCATCAAGGGAAAATCAGCGATACGTTGCTGTTGCATTGCGGATGAATTTCGAGTTGAATATTCACACACACTGTGTGTGTCTAGTCTGTTCAGATTTCAATCAAATATATGGACGATCGAATATTGTTGAATTGATACAGAACTTTGGAAAAGTTTCGTGCAGCTAAAGTTTGAGACACACACTTTGCTAAAGTTGTCGATTTGACAAAGTCAAACTGTTGACGATCTCATTTCTATTCTCTCTATCCTGCCAACACATCAAATGTAAAGCTGTTGTTATTGCTGTTTTTCATACGTTATTGATGCATGTCAAGCAGGATGAGAAGGAAACAAAAAAAATATATATAGGCATAACACGCGACACTGATGATAATAGCTCTACATGTACAATTGGCTAAAATCACTTAAATCTCACATAATCCGGTTAATGTAACCGCAACAATTCATACAATTGCACCAACCGAACCATAAAATGAAATTACACGCGCACGCTCCACACACAAAACTTTCATTGCAATTGCAATTGCCATTACCATTATAGTTGTGACTATTATTATTATTATTCTATTTTCTTTTCCTCTTCGTCTTTAATTCCCTCATTCTCGTCATGTGTAATATTTGATGGTGATAGAGGCGACGGCAGTCATCGTGGTGGTGCTGCTAGTTGCTTGAATCGAGCAGCATTTTGTTGACACTGAGTTTTATAGTTGTGAAGTGAATTAGTTAACATTAACCCAGTGTAAAGCTTTATTTTTTTTAGTACGGTCGCCACATTAGCATTAATTGCTAAAGTCTTGAAAATTAACGCCTTTTTTTTCCACAAAACTTTTCATTGCTGCTTTTCTTTTCCACTTCTGTCAGCTTATGACCCTTTTTTCTATTTTTCTTTGGCTTTTTGACGTTTTTTTTTACCCTTCGTTTCATGTTTCTTTTGCGTTGTGTTTTCGAAATTCGGAAAACAGTGGAAAATAAGTTGAAATTCAGCGATGTGGTTTTGTGGAACGTGGAACAACAGCAGCGCCACAGTAAGAATATTACAGCAAATCGAATGTACGAAACTCTTCATTCGGCTGTTTTAAGAATGGGGAGAGATGGCTGCTGAAAATAAAAATCGCTTTTTCAGCTTTGCGTTGATGATTTTTTTCCCATGTTTTTACATCAACTTTTTTTTTCTTTTTTTTCTTCCTCCATCCGAGGCCAAGTACGGCAATATTTCTTTGCAATCTACAGCTCGCGCGTGCGATGAGGCATACACTCACTCGCACAATACACACAAAATACGCGGGCAAAATGCAAGCATATGTAAGTTTCGGCATTGCATCGTATCTTAATGAATGTGTTAACATTCTTAATTTACTGCTGAACATTGTTCTTCAGAAAACAATAAAGTTTTTGAACATTGTGTTCGTGTTTTCTCTCTCTCTCTCTCCCTCTCTCTCTCTCTCTCCCTCTCTCTCTCTCTCTCTCTATCTCTCTCCCTCTCTCTCTCTCTATCTCTCTCTCTCTTTTCCCACTAGCACCCCCAATCGCAGCGGCTATGCAGAGGAAGCAGAAAAAAAACATCGTCGAAAGCGTGTAATAGCATAAAGTGCAACGAGAGAAATCAAGAGCGTATTGTAATGAGAGAGAGAGAGAGAGAGAGAGAAAAAGAGATTGAATGCGCGCAATGAAGGATTTCGAAGGCTTGGCGTGCGC